GGTTTGCGTGGGTTTCTATGGTAACCCATCAGTATAACAAATGTCACAAATTAACTTTGCAGCTTTTTTTGATTTGTTTAGTTTGGATAGCTTTTTCCCAAGGTCTGTGTGTACACAGGAAAAATTACCACAGAAAAAGCTGAGTAATGGCCTTAGAAACACAAACACACTTTTTTTTGTTTGTTTTTTTTGGGAGTTTGGGTGTTTCTTTTTGTTTGTTTGTTTTTTGAAAATTAAGTTTTTTTGGTTTTGTTTTTTTCTCCTGCCTTGGTTTCCTGGATACTGGGATTATAGGTGTGAGCCACACCCTCAGGTAGAGAGCTGAGGGAAGCAGATTTAAGCCAGGACCATTAAGGAGACTCTTAAAATAATTCAAGGAAATGATGTTAAGAGTCTGAATTAGGATAATGATGCTAGATGCAGGGAAGGGAATGGTTTCTAAATAGTTAGAAAGTGATGGGCAAGAATTGGTAGTGGGTACCAGACATGATCCCTTTGGATTCTTTTCAGCTTAGTGAAGTTGGACAAGTTACACAATTTCTCTCAGTCCCGTTACTAAGGAAATGGGGTTGTGTCATGATGTATAAAATGTCTAGAGTCTGGTGTGTTGAAAGCACTCAGTAATTGCTGTCACCATTGTCATTAAAGGAGAAGTCTGCAGGTGAAGGTGGAACCTGTAGACTTCTGGAAGAAGTAATATCTTTATTAAAATCCATTCCTTATATGCAGCAATCCCTTCCCATATTTGCATTGCTATTCTCAACCTAGCTTCTCCCAATTCTACCAGACTTAACTGTTGGTTTCCCACCCTAGATAAACTAGATAAATATGAAATGCTTCCCATTTGATTGTTTTGGTTTTTGTTTTGTTTTGTTTTTTGTTTTTTAAGGACAACAGGTGCATGCAGAGTTTACTTGGTATCTTTAACTTTGTCACTCAGGCCGAAGCTGCCCTCTCTTTGTGCAAATGATAGTATGTAAGATTTGGTACATGGAGCTAGGAGAATGAGAAGGGGAGAAGAGGAGGGGGTGATGA